ACTCAAACTTTTATCATTATCGGTTCAATTCTTATGGATGCCACTTTGTAAATTCCTGCCGGTTAATAGTATCACGCAACTTCCGATGCAATTCTTTGTGTTTCCCGATACGTGGTATTTATCAATTCACAACATAACGTCCTGAAAAGTTGAGCCTACTTTACTTGAGTTTATTTATCCGATTCTATAGTATTATATGACTTAAACTTGCAACTTTTCGTAATTGTTAAATTGGCAATGCAATCAGGGATTTGCTGTTAACATACATCAAAACATTTCCGAAAATCCTCGAAAAAATTACGAGAAATGGTCGCGACCAAGGACTGGTTTTGGATTGTTCTTGAGTATCGTGTATACCCCTTTCTTGACACTTCATTTTCCCCCTAAAAAAGTGCGCACTATACGCAAATATTAACGGTAGTCGTTGGTCAGACTAAAATATCTAAATCGGTCAATAGCAATTTATAATACGACAGTTTACCCCTTCAGGAACCTCAAAGGTGCCTGATTCATACTCGGAACATCTTTAGGTTATATGTAATTCCCGTGGGGAATTTGGAACGCCTTTAGGGTTTATCTTATTCCTGTTTAAAAAGGAAATCGATATCTGAGTTATCCAAGAGCTTGTAATTAGCGCCTGGTATATTCCGACAGAAGCAAGATACACAACAGCCCTCCTAACAGAGGTCAAAATCTGGGACTGAAACCAAAATTAATAGTCCCCTCTGGGGTTCCCCCAGGGGTGACTAAAAAACCAAATCTGTTTTTTTAAACATATATATATATTCAACGCGATTTTGTTTTCTTTCATAAATATACTCTTATTTAGAATACAGTAAACACATATATATATATATAACCATTACACCAACGTAACACTCATTGTAACTTAAGTTTCAAACTTGTACATACTGTTCAATAATTTGTGACTCGCGATACTTTGCTCATTTTTTGCGCTATTGCCCAATTTCTTGTCATGAAATCATTATACTGCTGTCTAAATGTTCTACAGAAGAAGTATCAGTGAAAACAAAATGGATTATACGGCCTTATTGTTACAAAACTAACTACGAGGGGTAAACAGGGACTCAATCATTAGGTCAAGAGTCGCATTCGGCCTGCAATATCGATAGAATGGGTGGATGTTTTCACGCCTTATAGCAGATATTTTCATTATTTCACTGATGAATAGAACTTCCGAAATTTGTAAAAAAACACGTCACGATCAATACCACCATAAAATATCTTTATAAATACTTAAAACTTGACCTTATAAACAACTGTGACATTTCGGGACGAGTTGTCCAATTTTCTTTGAAAGATGACAGCTTGATCGAGCGGAAATGAGTTCTTACCTCAATTGTTACGATTCCAGCTTCTTACTCCAAACTTGTAGTTAAAATAGGGGGAAATCTCGACCCTACTACATCTTCTTCATCTGTTCGTGATTATCGTGATGATCAACATGAATTATTATTTATGGGAATAGCAAAACGTCAATGGCGTAACGTAACGGTGGCACCAGCATTTAACGTTGTGAACCGTGAGCGCGCTAATATAACCGCGGTACTCAACCACAAATTTATATTCGATTAAAAAAAGAAACAAGCAACGAAGTATTTTATACATCATGAATCAATTCAAGTCTTCATAGCCAACATACTTTTTCCCTGTAGCTGGTGTCGACCAGGGTTTTATCATATCTCTGTTATTATCTCATCATCACTAGCAGGAAGGCATAGAAGGATTGCCGGAATATCGACTTTTTCTCACTTCCATCTTGCAAACATTCATGTTTTATCATATGGCACCAAACTTCGCCCAAAAAACAAATGATATAAATAATTTTTATGATTTCTTTTCTTTCGTTTGCAATAAAAAATATTCTGGGCGAAACGTGGTGCCTATGGTTATTTGAGGAAAATATCTAGACATTTGGGGTAAATTTTAGTCAAAAGGCGTAACCATGGTAATTTGTGACATGCGCAGTAAGAAAAATACGTTTTTTTTTCTGTCAAACATTTTGGAATATGTTTTTCTAGATGTAAGCCAAGGATTTGACACATGTTATTTTGTTCTGTAACAAGTTTAAAAATTTCGTAAAAACGGGGTCAAAAATGACCCTTCGTGAATCTACTCCATTTAGGGATGCTCTAGACCAAATTTAGTCAAAATCTACTTGGGCGTTCAGGACTAGTAGCGTTTTAAAGGAAAAGTTGACAGACAGACGACAGACGCTGCGGTATGGCATAGCTCACCATGGTCCTTCGGACCAAGTGAGCTAAAAATGAAATTCATCCTCTACTTCAGAGGGGGAGTTACACTGTTTATAATATCTACGTTCTCTAGGTATATTATTATACCTGCCAACTTGTATAGCTAAAGAATAGGTAGATGTACGTATTCGAGTTAAACAAATGCGATATTTCTTTGGTATATATTTTGTGAGGTTAAATTGTAATGTTTCTCCAAAATCTATTATATGTTTATACAATAAACATTTTGGAGAGTTTTCCACTGTGGCCCTTAAGAATTGTATGCCTTGATCAAAAATTCTTTGTTTTATCAATGGTAATAACAAATTTTGCTGAGAGATACATGGATTTAACCAAACATCACTAAGACCTAGATTATTTAATTCATCTCTTACTGCTATAGCCCAGTTGAAATCATTTCTACTACAACACTGTAATAAAAACCTATAGGAAGTTGATATACATGTAATACAATTTTCAGATTTTAATATCTTAAACCAATATTTTGTCATTCTAATTTTTCTCATCCCAACTAGAGGTAACTGTCCCAATTCAAGATATACCATGTTGTTATTGGCCGATTTCTTCACTTTTAGTAGTTTCTTACAAAAATGTAAATGTACATGTTCTATCTCTGGAGCTTTGTGCATACACCAAATTTCACTTGCATAGAGGAACTTAGATTGTTAAGTGCCCGGGGGCACAGACCCAGGATATTTGCCCGAGTCCAGAAAGGAGCCGTACTCCAGATAACAGATTTCTGTTATTTCCTAATTAGTGCCACAAGCTCAGGGTTATTAATAGTATATATATGTATACAGTATCTCTGGGAGTCAAATCAATTTTGAACACAGAATTAGGCAACAACTTTTCATGTCATTTAGTATTTTGCTTTCGAATAATCAAAGATGTATATGTAATACATATATATACGTCGCTGGATTGATATATAAGAAGCGTAACGTAATTCCTTTTATTGAACTATTCAATTTTTAAATTGGTTAATGACAACCTACTCGTCTCCCCTACATAAGATTGGTCAGAGAACTACATCTGGAAAAATATCTAGCTTGGCCAAAACAGACTATCCGTGAGTTAATCAAGTAATTGAAAGGACTTTGAATCAAATACAATTCATATACTTTTTGAATTTCATAGTATTTGAGTATCTTATTTAACTGAAGGTTCTTCTCCAGCATTGTTATATAATTGATACTGTTATGTTTAACAAAATTGAATAACTAACATTTTTGAAAAGTAATTTCAAATTTTCTAAATATTTCCTGTTAAATTTATACATATGATCTTAATAACACCATTTTATGACATGAATAGAATTAATATAGTGAGACTGATTACTATATTTCTAACTGCTTGAGTCGCATGTATATATGTTTATATGAAAAAACGAATACGTTTTAGGAAAGAGATGTTTAATTTTATGATTTTAGATTTCATTTCAGATAGATTATGAGATACTCTACCGGTGTATGATTGCATGCAACTCAACTCTAATAATTTAATAGTGAATGTCTCATTTTATAGTGTCGATAATATGTTTCAAGGTGTGTTTATTTTATTGTTGATCAATGCAATGAATTGATACAGAAATAGATAAATATTACGTCTCCCCATTATGTCTGTACTGATTAACCACAAAGTTAAAAGAAAGAGAGAATGAAGGAATGAAGGAAACACGGAGTCCGATCCTGCCCCGATCATGTAATATCAAATATACCTTATACCAGATAAGGATAATCAAATATATATAAATAAGTCTGATCCTCCCCCGTTTCTGTCCGTTCCTGTAAATCGTCGCCCGTTTCTGTCCGTTCCTGTAAAT